CCCCAAAACCCCAAAACCCCAAAACCCCATTAAGCTTGAATCATTGGGATCTGTTCTAAAAGAAATTCTAAAACAAATATAATTGGGAATATAGTTTAATTTTCATTTAGAAATAGTATAGTTTGATCAATGGAAGAACTTTCAATGAATAAACATAGAAGCAGTTAGAACTCAAATCTTGAAGATCTACTGATTAATTAAAACTTCAACAGCTATTTCAAGCAAAATTTGTGACATTAGGGGGTTATCAAACTCAAATAGTAACTGATAACTTCCTCTAAATAGGCAGCTACTGGTAAAATTAAAGCACATTCCAAAAAGGGAAGCATTGATGCAGGTAAAGGCATAGATAGTCAATTCTCACTAAATGCTAATGGTATATAGCCTAGATCTTCCCAAATTTTGGTGACAAAGGGTGATTTTCATTTAAGACAATAGAAATGAACTATACTGTATTAATCTGAGAATGTAACACCTAGAAATTATAAAAAGAGCAATCAAGTTAAAGAAAATAAACTAAGAACTATAGTGCTTAGTAAAAATTTGAGAGATAGTACCAAATCTCCTAATCATGAAATGCTAGATAGAAGTCCCATGATGATAAATTCAACTGAATTCAACATTTCTCAAAAGGAAGATAAGTTTAAAGATAAAACATCCTCATCTCTCTCGACCCATTTGAAAAAACAACAACGTTAATATGGAATTGCTGAAAGTAACATGTTTAGCAGTTGCAAGACAACTGCAGCCTTTTCACCAAGATAAATAAGTCAGGCATCTATCATTTAAAATAAGAATATGGATTATTTTACTCCGTAAAGTGAAATAAAAGCCTCATAAATTAATGCAAATAGAAGGGTATCTTGTGACTCAAGGAAGTCAAACTCCCTTATATACATAAAAAACAAATAAAGCATTTAGAGTCCAGTAAAGCAAACAATTGATGAAATGTAGCAAAATAGATAGGTTTAAATTTAATAGATAAATAATTTCCTGAAAAACACCAAGAAATTGATCTCAATAATGGAGGTAGACTAGAATATAATAGATCATCAGAATAATAATAAGAAGCGACCATAGACTTCGAAGTTCGTGAATGATGCTAGCGAAAGAATTGAGAAATTAAAGCTTTTAAGTTAGCCAGAAGAATACAATAATGATTTTAGGATTAGAATTGATAGCTTGTTTGGCAAGGGAGGGAACTGTGCACAGATATATAATTAAGATTATGAATAAATCATGAATCCCCATAAGTATAATAAGCAGCTAACTCCTTTTTAAGTAATAGATAGTAAATAAGAAGAATCTGAAGTAAGTTTTTACTTTTTAATTATAACTTTAGAGATCAAAAGAAGAAATCATCAAGGTTTTAGAATTTTTGAAAGATATTTATCCTTTATCCTTGCTAGATGAATTCAACTTAAAAGAGCTGTATAAGAAGCTCAGTACTGTAACTTATAAGAAAGATGAAATTATGAAAGAATTTGGAGAATTTCCAAATTAGATATTCATAATATATGATGGAGAGTGTGCAATTATTTCAAAGAATTTCTATTAAGTTGAAATAGAAGTAGAAAGGTATAAATCTTAAGATATGCTTTGTGAACAGCTTATTAATCAGAAAGTGTAAACTAATTAAAAACTTGTTGCAAAAAGCTAAGTATAGGCTTTCACAATTTTGCAAAAGACTTATTCCAATATTATCTATGTATTTAAATTTGAGTTAAATCTTTTTAATAGACAAAATCTAGACAAATTTTTATGGAATCAGCAAAGTACTTACAAAAAGAGTTTTTCATCTTTTCTCAAATATCTACAATTAGACTTGAAAAAATCTGTTAAGATAATAGCAAGCACTCATATTATAGGAGAGCTGGTGAATATGTATTTTTAGAAGGGATGAGTGGAGATTATCTTTATATTGTAAGGGATGGAGTATTTGTAACTCAAAAAGAAGTAGTGATTGAGCATCAGAATTTCTGGCCTTAGACTTCTGAAACTTGGAAATCAAGCCTAATAAAGAGGAAAGTACTTTTCACAGCTAATAAATTAGTACCTGGAATATATTTCGGAGAGAAGGAAGTCCTTAATAAAAAGCCGTACTTAATAAATTTATGTGCAGCTGAGAGGGGATCTTAGCTTATAGTTATTCCTAGAACTGAACTTATGAAATGCTTCACTGAAATTGAACTAGATAAGATAAGAACCTAGCCCTGTGTAATATTTCCGAATGAAGAAGAGATTAAAAGGAGAATATAGATTATGGAAAAAGTTGTCAGTATGAAAAAGATTGCATTCTTAAATGCAACAAATACCAATTTCTTACCTGAATCAATGAGAGACTTCTATTAAGATCCATCCACTAAGAAACTGCATAAATGGGTCCATGGCATAGAAAGTAGAACTAGAAAGAAACTAAATTCAGCTATTCAGTAGAAGGATGTTAAAAAAGGCCAAAATAAAAATGAAAAAATTACATTAATTGATGATTCTGAAAAGTTATTCCTTGAACCAGCTGATGATAGGCAGTTCCCTATTGTTATGAGAGAGGTTCGAACGTTTGGTAAATTAGCATTCAAAGGCCAGATAGACCAAAAAGAATAGAGACTAAACAATATTGCTAAAGGAGTAGTAGAATCCATTATTAAAGAGGCAAGGAATGATAAGTGAAGTTTTAAATTTTTATATTATTATGCTATCTGATAATATTAATTTCATAAATTATCAAGAAAACTCTGAATGGGGTTTTGGGGTTTTGGGGTTTTGGGG